ATACATTTACATTGATTTCAGTTTTATATTTAGTTTTATAACAAATAATTCAGTTTATTCTCAATATTCAAATAAAAAATATATTGTACATACATTATATTCATTGTGAATTAAATTCATGTTGGTTGCTAATTATCAAATTATTTGCATATAAATTATTAATAGTTTGAATAATTTATTGTTAAATGACGTTTATGAGGCAAGCCAAAAATAAATATAAAGTTAATTTAACTTAAAACATTAAGATTGCATTTTTCATCTAAGATTGATCTGTTGCCCTAATATACGGCATATCTAATAATATATCTATTTCTTATATTTTACAGTATATTTTAGTGCAGCTAATACTGTACCACACATTGTATCATATAGTATTTGCTTATAAATCATAATCGCAATAAGCAATATTTTGAATAATTAATTATCTGGTGCTCATTTAATTTGACATAAACAATAATTAATAGACTAAAAATATTGTACCATAGTGTAAAGATAAAAATGTATTATATCAGAAAACTCAAATTGAAATCTGAAAAACAATTTGAACATTTTGCAAACTCAAACACTAATGAATTGAATGCAATCAACAAAATCAACAAATTCTGTGCAAATAATTATATATTTATAAATTTGGACGACTATTGTGATGGACAAATACAATCACCAAAAAGAGGTTATAAAATATTATTTCACAGATTAATTAACATATTGCTTGCATTCAGATTTATAATTTCATCTATATTTCATAATAATAAAAATGTCATCAATGTCATGTCAAACGCAAATTATTTATTAGGCAATTCACGTATTTTCTCAACGTTATTAAGTATGGTATCTATTATATCATTAACATTATTATTCATATTTCATTACTTTGAAACTAAATACACATTATTTGTAATCCACTTTTTAAATGATATCAAACACAAAACAAACACAAATCGTTTGAATGAATTAAATGCTCAAAAATTTGCTTTTAGGATAAACCTAATCACAAAATACATGCTTGGTAATGTGTTGAATATACTAGTCATGTTAGAAACTCTGATACTTATTTTCACCCCTATTGTGGCATATTTTGATAATAACACACAATATTCTATAATTTACATCATATTCTGGACTCCTATCACTTATATATCATTTCGTGATTTAACATCAATATGTGTTGTCACGGTTGTATTGGTTTACACGTCTTTATTATACATAAGCTATCAATTAAAAGAAATTAAACACAAATTTATAATGATTTTAAATTATAAAGTCAATTACATGTTAATAATAAGATTTATAAATGCTCACAATTGTGTGTCAGAATGTATTAGACAATTAAATGCAATGTATCAATATGTGATTTTTGCAATTTATATCATTTGCACAATTTTTTTTAATTTGGCTATTTATTTAGTTTTCAACAGTATTTATAGTACATTATTTCTAAAGATATTACTATCTTTGGGTTTAGTAAATGCCATAGCAATGTTAGCAACTTGTATTTTCTTGTGGTCATCTATCCATAAACTGGCACATATTTATAGACCCTTTTTGCATACATTTCAACTTAAAATACAACTTTCCTTAAGAGAAAAATTACATATAATGCGATTAAATGAGAGACTTAGTGACGATCATATAGGCTTCACTTGTTGGCAATGGTTTCCCATTAATTACTATGAGTTTTATGACTATTGTTGCAAATTCTGTATGTCCTATATTTTAATTGTTAAATTTATAAATGATTTATAATTCATTTGTTTGTAATACGGTAAACATTTGTTTTAAATACTTGTATTATACTTTAAACTGATTGCATACGAATTTGTACCGGGTCCTCAAAGCTAAGAAGATGAACAGTATGATGACTCCCAGTCCCGCGAAACAGGCCCAACCCAACTGCTCCCACAGCAAAAACAGTATGACTACCGACTGAATCGGTGCCGCAAACAACGAGTGAACAGTGTATGCAAACTATTTATAAAATATAAAATAAATTATTTTTAAATTTTTTAAAATTCATTTTAATTCATCAAGGATATAAAAACCTCATCGAATCTGTTGACATCATTGGACATCATATTCAGTATCTGTCCGACAGTTGTCTTTCCCATCGCTGAACGACTTAATCTCAGCGACTGGTAAACCATTATATAATTATTATTATAGAAAATGTATCATGATGATTTATGCAAACACCCACATACCTTTTTGTACATAAGGGCACAACAGGCCACTCGCATCCTCATCCCGGCCTTCATTTGATACATAAAGACCACGTGATTGAGTGAAACACAACCGGCCGAACACAATACGACTCCAACGGCATACCCGACCGCCTCCTCGTACGACACGCGCCCCGTCTTCTGGAAATATCTCACGACATAACCCAAAAAGACTGGTTGGGCCGCACGGATCACCCCTTCCTATGAATGTGTTATAGTTATGCCTATAAATATGTCTATAAAATAATCAACTGGATCAATTGATGATTAAAAATGGTGAACTATTTATATAAAGCAGCTTACTAATTCAAAGTAATAGCTTTTAATTTGTTTTCCAAAAGTTTTATATTAATTGTTAACCATTTTTTATATTCATCGATTGATTCAGTTGATTTATTTTTATAGACATACCCCAAAAAAAGTATGAATTCCCTGGACTTACTTGTATTATATAGAGTAGAATCCATGGCACGAATTCCCACGAAAATGTCCGAATGAGAGCCAATATAAGACTTGGATGTCGTCCACTCACTTGGCGTATCCATTGCCTGGATTATGAGCAACAAATTTGTTTTATTGTTTATCCAGATTAGTTTTGTTTAGTGACAATGAATACCGTTCGAGTTTATCGCCCACTTTATCAGCCGTGTCACTTTTTGGGCATTTATATAAATCTAGAAAATCTAGATCTTTTCGGTGACCCTTTATGAATATACTCCACACCCAACTGTAGGCATACAAAATACTTTTATTTACAGGGTGAATGTAATTTTTATCACATTAATAGTAAACAAGTAACTGTGTAAAACAGTGAAAAGTGATTCAGAGCATAATAAAATAAATAATTGTGAGTGGTAAAGTGTATAACAGTGTTTACAATTCATAGTAAACAAATTTGAGAGAATATCTATCCTGTGTACTTTTGAAATAATTAAATAATCTATAACTGTACCTGAATGTTATTTTGGACAAAATGCTAATTCTATCCCATGGAGAGGGCTTTGTAATGAGCTCGTCACTTTCCATTTAATTATTAGCTAGTATAATCTAACATACAAAATTATTGTATCAGTACATATACAATTAGTAATGCTATTGATATATAAAAATTATATACACATAACCCAACTGTACGTCTATGTAATATTTAGTAGCAACTTCTGAAAACTAAGTAATAGTTATCATTAACTGCTTACTCAAATATTTTGAAATGACATTTGCAAGAAACTGTAGCTATTTATAAAGGATTCAATTGACAAATCGACAATTATTATATGATATTAAAGTTATAAAATATTTCAACGACATTGAACAAAAAGTATATATACACTATATATACAGTGCTGCGCGCCAGAGACAGTACTAGTTTAATTTTGGAACTAGTACACTCAAACCTTTGTTAGCAATGAATTATATCTAAAATTTTAATAGATTAAATAAGTGATTAGTGTGCTATAAAGTAATTTTCACGTATAAATTTGTAAATATTATTTCTCTGACAAAAAGTAATCTCTGATTGATTAACCTTTGAACCCTAGCATTGGACCCTTATAATATTTGACAGTTCAATGTGTCAAACTTGGTTATACTACTAATATTTACAAATTTATACGTGAAAATTACTTTATAGCACACTAATCACTTATTTAATCTATTAAAATTTGAGATATAATTCATTGCTAACAAAGGTTTGAGTGTACTGGCTCCAAAATTAAACTAGTACTGTCTCTGGCGCGCAGCATTGTACTGTATCAAAAAAACTTATAGAATAATATAAACTCTATTATAATGACTTATTATGCATAGGCAAATGTATTGCGACAATGATCTTATAATTAGATTAAATGAAATAATAAATTTAATGCAATTAATGTAATATAGGTATTTCTATAATGTTTTCATAGCAGCCTTATTTTACGAAAATTATTGTTGTATAATTTTAAACTATGTTAAGCTATAGTTTAATTGCTATGTACTACCCCAATATAATTTATTTAATAAAATAAATAAATCAAACATAAGTAACCAACAAGTAATAAATTATAAATTGTTTATAAAATTCGTAGAAATTAATCAGAAACAATTGCCGATATAATTTAGACTCTAAAGTTTAGATCTATACTGTAGAAATATAAATAGACTTGGACATTATCCAGTAATATAGTAATGTAAGAAATAATACTGTAATACCGTGCTATGGATACAAATACTTGAAAATATTTTATTTATTAAACAAAACAATTAGGCTATAAATTATGTATGAGTTTAACAACTATGCTATAAATGGTAAGAATTACATATTTATACATTTCATTCAATTGTGTTATACAATTGGAGACATAATTATGTTTATAAATAGTTTTTATTAACATATAAATGCTTTTGTAATGAAAACTCATTATAAATTTGTCATCAATTTCTTTTAACTGATAATAAATATACAGTAAAGCCGTACAACACAGGATAAATGTGACAATACATATGACAAAAAAATTTCTAAACGATATAAATGTAATAATAGTCCAGAATATTGTAGTAATTAATGAATAATTGGTTTGATCATCAAAATAGGCCACAATCGTAGGACAACTAACAATAATAGCTATTAATATGATAATTATATTGATTTGTTGACTTAGAAAATATTTTGATATTAAATTCATTTTGAAAGCAAACTTCCTAGTATATATTGGATTTAAAGGGTATACATTTACCTTGTGTTTAATGTCATTTAAGAATTTTATGACAAATACTGTGTCATTAGTTTCAAAGTAATGAAATATGAATGAACCAATTAGCGAGATCGCTGCGAGACTTATAGCTATCGTAAGTATCTGTGAATTTGTAAATAAATAGTTTTGCGTTTGACATCATATTTGTTACATTTTTATTGTCAGGGAATATGGCTGAAGTGATACATCGGATGGCAATCAAGATGTTAGCAAATCTGAGAAATAATACTTTCTTCGCTTTTTTTGGTGCTTCATCTCATGATTACAATAGTCGTCGAAATTATTGGCAATTAATGTTATAATTTGTACAGAATTTGTCGATTCTGTTCATTGCTTTTAAGGCATTATTGTTTTCATTAGTAAAGTTTAACATTTGTTGTTTAGCTTTATGTTTTGATTGTTTTATAAAATCCATTTATACAAAGTATATAAGTTAATAAGAATAGTTCATATAATTAATTTATAATTAGTTTGATTATAAACAAGTTTGTATTAACTTTATATAAGAATTTAAAATATTTGTATAAGATTTATAAACTTTATTCTTATATTATATACATTTTAATGTACTGGTGCAAAAATGATATCGATATTTTCCATCAATCAATAATCAATAACTAATCTCTAAATTACTTGTAATATCAAAAGCATTAAACAAAAAATCAATTAATAAATGAATGGAAAAGTTATTTTATAAATAAAATAAGTTTATGTGCACTTAATTATTGATAAAAATCAATAATTAATAACTAATTCAAACATTTGAATTGATCATAAACATATAATTCTAAAACTATTTTAATTATTTTACTGTACCTGTATATATATTATTTCTGCAATACTAAGTTCAGTTTAAATAAAATATTTTAATTAAAATATGTTTTATAAAAATTATTGTTAATTTTCTGTTTAATAATATCATTATAACAATATTGATGTTAAGCTAATATCTTAACTGAATCTAATACTTAGAAAACATTCACTTATATTCAGTTTTAAAATTAAATAAGTTTTGTACAGTATTTATAAAAGCAAATAATTATTTTATTATCGTATATAAGGTTTCTTAGCTTTGAGGACCCGGTACAAATTCGTATGCAATCAGTTTAAATAGTTTGCATACACTGTTCACTCGTTGTTTGCGGCACCGATTCAGTCGGTAGTCATACTGTTTTTGCTGTGGGAGCAGTTGGGTTGGGCCTGTTTCGCGGGACTGGGAGTCATCATACTGTTCATCCCATTCCAGGGACTTATGGGTCGACTGTTTCAGAGTGTTCGTCGAAAAACGGCTCAATTAACGGATACGAGGATTAGGATTATGAATGAAATCATATCCGGTATGCGAGTCATAAAGATGTATACCTGGGAGCAGCCCTTCCAAGATTTGGTGGCCGAGTCGCGATTGTAAGATATATCTGAGAAAGCAATACGATATGAGTCTCACAAAAAATCTTTAATCTTATCTTTAAAACGGCTTACGTGTAAACATAAGATTAAAGATTTTTTTGTGCGAGACTCATATCGTATTGCTTTCTCAGATACTAAGTCATACTATATATATAAAATTTAATAAAAAAATATTTATATATATTATGACAGGAAAGAGATACAACGGATCAGACACTCGAGTCTATTGAAAGCCATAAATTTGTCCTTTTATTTCGTGGCCTCTCGTGTCATACTATACGCCTGTTTCGTCACATTTGTATATACGGGCGGAAAACTGTCGGCCGAATCGGTGTTCGTGACGATGGCCTTCTTCAATACGCTGCGAAACACATTGACCCGACATTTTCCGGCCGGAATCGCGGCCACAGCGGAACTGGTGGTCGCCTGTCGCCGGATTCAGGTATTATTTTTGGCGACCATTCACTCGGATCCCCACAAATGAATTATACATTGAATGTGGGATTTGTATTATCGCAGGATTTCTTAGTCCTCGACGAAATTGACGATTCAAACAAACCGATTGAATACATGGCGTCAGTATACTCGGGGAAAGCCGATGGAAATGGGGTTCCCGTAAGCCTTGAGAAACCTATGAAACCAGTGGACGACAGAGAGAAAGGAGTTTTCATTGAGAATATGAGCGTTCGTTGGAATGATGTATGGATTCGTTAATTGAATATTTGCCGTAAATTTAAGTTTTAATACAATTTGTTGATTACTTAGGAAACCCTTGAGCCCACTCTGAAAGACATTAGTGTTTGCGTAAAATCTGGAGAGTTGTTAGCAGTGATAGGATCCGTTGGTAGTGGAAAGGTATGTAGATTGATAAATCATAAATATGAATAATATACATTTAACACTATGCTATATATATTCCATGTATAATGGGTTTCCATAACGTCCTTTACTATATTCATACACTGGACTATTTATGTGGTATTAATCAAAGTCCAGTGTATTAGCATGGGAAACGATGATATTGATACCCACTATACATACTCACAATAACTCCGATAACAGAGTTCACTATTGATGTCAATCCTAAATGAGCTGACAATCACGTCGGGATCAATGGAGGTGAGGGGAACGGTATCATATGCTCCACAAGAGTCGTGGGCCTTCATAGCTAGCGTTAGAGACAATATTCTGTTCGGAACTGAATATAACGAACAGAAATACAATAACGTGGTTGAGGTGTGCGCTCTGGACAGGGATTTCAAACTATTCCCATTCGGCGACAAAACCATTTGCGGCGAGCGAGGGGTGTCGTTGAGTGGGGGCCAGAGGGCGAGGATCGGGTTGGCGAGGGCTCTATACCACGAGGCGGACATCTATTTGCTGGACGACCCCCTGTCGGCGGTGGACGCGCGCGTCGCTAAACATCTCTTTCAAAAGTAATCCTAAAATATATACAGTATATCTGAAAAAGCAATACAAAATGAGTCTAGCGAAAAAATCATTAATTTTATCTTTAGAACTACTTACATGTAGTGTTCCCAAATTCAAAAATCAAATTCCTTGAGAATCCCTATTTTTACCTCAAAAATATCCTTAAATTCCTTGATTTAAAAAAACTGACCATAAATTTCCTTGAGGTCCAATGAAATGGTCATATTTTTTGAAAATATTTCCTTGAGCATATGATCGATTCCTTGAAAGTCCTGCTTGAACCTTGAGATTTGGGAACCCTACTTATATGTAAAGATAAAATTAAAGATTTTTCCCTAGACCCTATTTTGTATTGCGTTCTCAGATATATTAACTTTTTGTGTCATATATTAAAACCCTACAAATGCGTTCAGATGTGCGGTGGAGTACCTGAAAGATAAGGCCCGCGTGTTAGTCACCCATCAGATTCAGTTCCTAAAAGAGGCCCATAAGATACTGGTGCTAAACGATGGGAAATGTATAGCTTTCGGCACGTACGCTGAGCTCTGGGAGTCTGGTATCAATTTCATGTCATATATAAACGATGATAAGCCGACTGAAACCAAAACCGACAAAATGTTGCAATTGAGTGAACACAGGAGGTTGCAAAGGGCCGTATCATTCACGTCATCCCTGGCCAGTAGTATTGTCGGCTCTGACGTGGATCGCGATCAGCCCCGGGATGTGACTGAATCGGATGAGCCTAAACTCAAACAGGAGACCAAAATGATTGGATCCATTGAGTCGAGTGTGTATTGGGATTACGTGAAGGCAGGCGCCGGACCTATCCTTATATTCGTCTCATTTGTGTCGATTCTTATATCCCAAATCCTATACCAGGGCAGCGATTTCTGGCTTACCATATGGTTAGTCCAGTGTTTAGCCAACATTTTTAATATTGGTAATAGATAAATAAACGAGTACTTTTTTATGTGTATACTAGTAATTGTACAAATATAGTAAATAGTACTATTATATACACACAAAAATGCACTCGCTTATTTACCAATTACCAATTGTAAAATGGTTGGCTCACATTGGGTCACTCCATTCGATGGGAATAAATGATTTGAAATTAATTGAAAAATATAACCAAATGTTAGGACTAATGAAGTGGACAGTGATACTAGCGTCGATACAAATTTCAATGTAATTATATACTCAGCACTGATCGGCGGACTACTGGTGTCGGCCCTCATAAGAACCACCACTTTCTTCGTGATGTGTATGCGCTCGTCGGTCAACCTTCACAACAGAATATTCCACTCGTTATTGCGAGCGCCTATACATGTGTTTGATAGCCAACCCATTGGTTAGCAATAGTTTTAATGAGAAACCAAAACAAAATTCTGTAACAAATATTCTGACATTTAAATCGTTAGGCCGTATATTAAATAGGTTTACAAAGGACACCGGTATTGTCGATGAGCTCCTACCTGCAACTGCTTTTGATTTGCAAATGGTTTGTAATTTTTAATAATGAATATTTGATATTTGTGATAGGTAAAACAAATTCAGGATTATGGATTGCATAGCAATTTAAATATTTTTTCATTGCTTGCGTGTAAAGTATATAAAGCAATGAAAAATATTTAAATTCATACGCAATCCATAATGCTGAATTTGTTTTCCTATCACAGATATATTTACAAGTTATCCAATTTTAATATAATAATTTATTTGCATGATATGTAGACACTATCCCTGGTCATCGGGGCCTTAATTGCGAACACAATCGTCAATTGGTATCTAATATTCCCGGCGATACTGCTCTGTATCGTAGTGTTTATGTGCCGATACTTCTACATCAGTGCCGCCAGAGATATCAAACGTCTGGAGGGATTGTGTGAGCGAGATCACATTAAAATGTTTTTCCATGTTTCATGTAATCACGTAATTTATTTTATCCATTATCTATAGCCCGGAGCCCAGTCTACTCTCACGTGAGCACAACCCTATCGGGTCTGTCGACTGTGCGGGCATTCGGCGCGCAACGTATGTTTGAGACCCAGTTTGTGAGGCACCTGAACGACAACACCTCCACTTTCTTCCTATTCATCTGCACCTCCCGGGCCTTCGGTATACTCATGGACTGGGTGTGCGTCCTATACATCGGCGCTGTCGTCGCGTTTATCATGTCTTACGACGGTATGACATCTCTCTCTCTCTCTCTCTCTATCATTATGTTTATGCATTTAATGTACCGTGTTTTACAATTGTACCCTGACACTTAATACTACGGGCCCGGCAACCAATGGGAAAGTGAGTTGGATATAGCGGATATACATGTCCTTACATTTGAAATTGTATTCAACTCACTCTCCCATTGGTTGCCTCTTGGCGCCCGTAGTATCAATAGTATCGGGGTTCAATTTGTAAACACACTGTATATGGTCGTCGTCCCCCCCGGATAGACCTGCCGGGCGGTGACGCCGGTCTCGCCCTATCGTCGGCCCTAACACTGACGGGAATGACTCAATTCGGGGTGAAATCATCGGCCGATCTCGAGTCCCATATGACAGCAGTCGAGCGAATGCTAGAGTACTCCCGAATCAAACCCGAGCGGGAGTTGGAGTCCCGTCCCGACCGGAAACCAGTGCCCGAATGGCCACAAACGGGTGAAATCTTGTTCAAAGACGTGAGCCTTCGGTACAACGAGTCGCCGACAAAAGTCCTCAAAGCCATCAATTGTGTCTTAAAAGGGGGCGAAAAAGTGGGAGTCGTGGGCCGTACCGGCGCCGGGAAGTCGTCCCTCGTGGCGGCCCTCTTCCGGCTGACCGAACCCGAGGGACAGATTCTCATCGATGGGGTCGACATTCAGACGATTGGTTTGCACGACTTGAGGCGTCAGATAGCGATCATACCTCAAGAGCCGGTGCTCTTCACGGGTAGTGTCCGTAAGAATTTGGATCCGTTTGGTGACCGGCCGGACGACCATCTCTGGGCCGCGCTGGCAGAGGTGCAGCTCCGGGATGTAGTGACCCAATTGGGGGGACAGTTGGACGCACTGGTGACAGAAGGGGGCAGTAATTTCAGCGTAGGCCAGCGACAGTTGGTATGCCTGGCCCGGGCTATACTGCGTGACAATAGGGTCCTAGTCTTGGATGAGGCGACGGCTAATGTCGACCACAGAACCGATGCTCTCATTCAGAGGACTATTAGAGAAAAGTTTCGGTTTTGTACTGTCATTACGATTGCCCACAGACTCCACACTATCATAGACTCCGACAAAGTTATGGTAAGTATTTACTGAAGTATATATGATCGTCAACGTGCATAAAAGGGTTATGTATTTTTCAATTCAAACTGTATACATAACAAAATCATTGCATTTATAGTATCTAATATTGTTTATTACTTTGAGAAATGCAATGTATACAGTTTGCATTAAAAATACATAACCTTTTAAGCACCCAGTGGATCATATACAGTACACCATACTATTGTGGGGAACGGCATGTTTAGTGTATAAAATGTTTTTTTTCAATAATGAATGAAATTATTTGCTGATTAGGTGTTGGATGCGGGAGAAGTGGTTGAGTGCGGAATACCACACACTTTGCTCGAGAAAAGTGACGGACTGTTCACCAAATTAGTGGATCAGACGGAAAAGCATATGTCCATTAGGTTGAGACAAATGGCTAAACAATATTTTACTAATAAGTATGATGTCTATGAAAATGATAGTCTGAATGAAAAAGACACTGAAAGCGATTGATTTGTTTTAGTTTTATAAAATGTAATGTTTTTATATAGTTTATATGTGCTAATCAGGATATTATATGTAAATAATATTATATCACTTTATATAATACATTATATTATAATGTATTAATATTAGTATACTATAGATTTATATTTTTAATATTATACTTTTGATTTTCGTTTATGATTTTGATTTTAAATAAAGAATTAAATTTATATTTTATTTTATTACTTAATACTTATTGATTTGTATTGTATATAACAAAGTTATTTTTAGTTGTTCAGTTATTAGATTTTTTTTAAATAGCTAGTTAGACCTTTTTTCTTTATTATTAATAAATATTATTTATTGTATTATATGTTTGCAAAATTAATTACTGTTATAAATAAGTCGATATAAATATTATCTAATAAGTTAACATACTTTATATCAATGATATTAATTTAAAAATAATACACTAAAATAAATTATCATCGTCCTTATTGTTTTATAAATATCAATAAATTATTAACGATAATAATACATGTTAATTATTATGAAACGTTAATTATTAGTATACTCTGTAGACTACACTGTAAACTCTACAGTACTTTATATGAATGTAATATGAAATTGTTCATAATATTTTTGTTTGATAATATAATGTTTAATAATGTATATTAAGACATAAAAAATATTCCCAAGTCTGTGTCGCCATGGTAATTTACATTTACATTTGTTTTGTTATCTACTATTTGTGCAGATATTATTGAGTTTAAGTGTACTGTGTCATAGTTATGTGTACACAATTAAATAATATAATTGCTTTTTATGTGCATAACTTGAAACCTAAGACATTGTAACATTTATTAACATTGTAACATGTATATTAAAATATTTTTACAATTTTTTGTTAATTCATAATTATCTACCTAAAATCAAAAGTTTATAAAAACAATGTTGCACTTGAAATGTCTCATATGTGGTGATGTAGCAAACGGTATACCGTATAATATTTATATTTATAATTAAAAAAATAATTTGCAAAATTAATGTACCCAGGCAAACATTATGAAGTGATCAGCTGTGTCTCGTGTAAGGAGTTTTTCCGGCGAAATGCCCTCAAAAATGACGTATTTATAGATTATTCAAAACAACGAGTAAAATGTATAATATTTTTAATGACAACATATTGTAACAGGTATTCAATTGTCGTCTCAACGGAAACTGTAAAATAGACGCAAAGTCAAGGAAAAGGTGCCGTAACTGTAGACTTAAAAAGTGTTACGACGTGGGTATGAAAAAGGTAAAATATTCACCTTGTTACTATATACTATCAAAAATGTTTATAATTTACAAATTTTTATATAAATGATTAGGATTACATAATTGTGAGACATTTTATTAAGCATGGTAAAAACTACGAGCATTCAGATAACAGTTACGTTGGTGACCATGAAAATGATAATTCAATAGTTTCATCTACATTAATTAATGACCAGGATTATTACCTTAATAATCAAGTATCTGTTATAAGGGAAAATCCTAGTCCTTTCCATGACATTCCGTTAATAGACCTCGAGTCAGATTACCTTGATGATAATAAATGTTTGGAGGCATTTGTAAATGAAATTACTGATCTTATTGACCAGCAAAATGAGCCTGATACCTCATTAGTGCCTTATATAAATAGACCTGTCACAGATTATCGGAATCAACTAAATGAGCTAGAAGGTAGCACGCTGCAACAATTATTACGAGCAACTGATCTGGCTCAATTTAGTATCGCTCAAGATTGTGTCGACTACGCTAATGGTGTGGACCAACTATTGGGCACCCGGTGCCCGGTGCTGAGCCGTAACGTTACAATATTCACGCAAATATTTAATAATTTAACACATTTTAATTGCCTATGCGAGTCTGATATTAAAACATTAAAAAAGTATTTATTATCGGTATTTGTTATACGTTGTGTACCCAGCTACGACTGCGAAAGTAACCAGTTACATTTTAGTACTGTGAGTATATATATATATAATTTTGTATAAAAAATAATTAACGTACTGTATTAATATAGTAATTACTATTTTAGGACAATCATATATCAATTACGTGTAGCTTAAACTTACTGCAAGAATTACCCAGGAACATTTATCAATTAATTACACAGTATTATCAACTCGTGTCCAAGGAATGGGATAACGATCTTGTTATTCTTGACCTGGTAAATTATATTTAACATATTGACTTCAATTACAATTAAATTATTATTATTTATTGTACTAGCTAACTGCAATAACCCTATTCAATCCAAACCGACCTGACCTTAAACATAGTAACACAGTAAAGTATGCTGATGAATTTATAATATTATATAATAATGAAACACACATTTAATTAGCTAATCAAGTGCAATTTATAAAATAGGTACCAGCAACAACTATGCAAACATTTGCTGCGCCGTTATTTGCAATTAAAATATCGCACGGATTCAGAGTGTGAGCGAAAATATTGCCGCCTAATGGCTACGATAGACGTACTCGAAGTGGTGCTACAAAATCAATGGCAAAATATACTGGAGTTGCGGCCGGAGTTATGGTACACCAGGAGTCTTATGAAACTTATATTTAATGCCAATTCAATGCAATATAGAATTAAATTTTAAAAATTTTATGAACCCATCATATGATTTATTGTAGATAGCTTAATTATAAAGTTAGTAAGTATTTAATATATTTATTATAATTATATAAGTGGTTAATCATAAATGAATAGTTTTATAATCAAAATAATTATTAGTTTATTTATTAAAATACTGTTTAGTAATACACTATTCAATTTATATATTAATAATAATTTTCACAAACAAAATTTAATTACATTATAATCAAGTATTAAACTAAATATTTTTTTATTATAAATATTACATTATTATATTATTGTTAAATATTTAAACCATAATTTATTCATTTTAATATTAAATGATAAACTATGCAAATGTGTGTATTATAAGTTATTTATGAAATTAATTTATTTTATTTATAAATTATTTTATAATAATCAAAAATATGTAATGTTAATCAAAAAATGTTTCAAATACATTTTTATTTGTGTTTATTATAAGTAAACTAAAATTAATAACTGTCCTTATGATATAACTATAATAACATTGCTTAATAAAATATAATTAACTTTATTGAGTTTTTATCACGAGCAAACAATTTATTTATTTATTAATAAATCATTTTATGTTAGAAGTTATTATAATGTTAAATATTTTTTGCAATATTAATAAATTAAATANGCAAACAATTTATTTATTTATTAATAAATCATTTTATGTTAGAAGTTATTATAATGTTAAATATTTTTTGCAATATTAATAAATTAAATATTCCTATAAATTATATATTTTTAATAAATTATATATTGTAGAATTTGAAATTCTGTTTATTAATAATTTATGAAATACTTATTAAATACTGTACCTTATAACTATTATGGTTGGTAACAGATGTATGAGTTGTCCTCTATTTGACTTTCAGACATAGTCTACCTTACATTAATTGTATATTTCCTGTATTTCTGAGGTGTTCGGTTACTCCTACATCTGTTCACATGAACATTACACAACACCTTACTTGAAATACGTTTGTCTAACGTTTGCATTATGAATATATTCTTGTTGCGCTTGATTCTAAGAGTAAGAGTTATTTTGTATGTCTGTCTGAACGGTTGATTTTTAATAAAATATTTGATTTATTTTGAATGCTTAGAATATAATTTATATTTATGATGTAGTCTATGACTATTACCGATTCATGCAAGTGGCCAACGCGGCGGCCACTCTGCAATATTTTCAATAACTTAAAGTAGTTGCTTGAAAATATTTAACCAAGTAAAAACAAATAAATTGTTTATATTTTATGAGCGCTTATAAAGCTATTGATTTTTTTTCATAATTTAGTAAAGTAGTGTGTGGAAATTATTAAATAAATATTTTTATAAAATTAAATTTATAATACAGTGTTTCATAACATGTATCAATAATACATAGTTTCTAAAAGTATATTCAAAATGTTAAGCAATGTAAAAATCATTATTGCTGCAAATCATGTAAGTAATTTAATTAATTAAAAAGTAAATAACTCTAATTTAATAACTCTAAAAACATTTACTATTAGGTGCCACCGTATATTTATCTTAATCAAAGTGAACTAGATATAAAACCAAAGTTCATTGACGGATTAGAAGTGAATTTGATACATGCCTTAAAATATATATTAAATTTTACCTTGGAAATTAACTATTGTCACCAAGATTGGGGCGTTAAACTAGTTGATAATAATTGGACTGGCTTAGTTGGCACATTAGCTGGAAATGTATGTTTTTAAAATTCAATATTATGATTATTATTGTTTTTTTCAAATTTAGCAAGCTGATTTAGGTATCAGTGCGTTGACATTAACGTCAGAGCGAACAAATGTAATTGATTATTTGTACCCTCATGAAATTGACTCATATACTTTTACGGCACCACCACCTAAACACCATGTTCATCTAAATTTATTCGACGTTTTTGATAAATACATTTGGGCATCATTATTTTTATCACTTTTAATAATATTTATTTTAATAAACTTTATGTCATATGGCACTAAATTTGTCATGGCTATTTTAATAAATTTAATTAAAATTCTATTTAAGCAAGGAATTAAGATCGAATGGATTAATAAATGTTCTGTTCGATTTCTTATTTTCACCTGGCTATTGTTATGCTTTATATTAAGCACATATTATTCAAATATTGTCTACTCATATATAGCAAGTCCTCATGAGCAATGTATTAATACAATCGATGAATTGAAAATAGCTTGCTTAAATGAAAATATAAACGTTTTAATATTGAAGGATTCGCCAACAGCTTGGCTAATTAAGGTAAGCTTATAAAATAATCTAGGTGACAAATTGTAACAAATATATTTTAATCAAAACTATTTTACATATAAGAACGAACAGGTTAAATCTAGAAT